CCAGAGATGCAGCAGAAATTCACGTAGGTAAACGTTAGCAACTTCCCTTGAATATAAAACCATAACTTGTCATCGGGTTGCTCCCAAACAAGCCTGAGCAGAAGAGAATGGATAATTTGTCCACAAAATTGTATCTCTAGCACAAATATTAGGTGGCCCCAAGACAGCTTCTTAAAGTCCTCTAGTTGCTTCTTGGTCAACGCAGACTGCACCAATGTTCCGGCCTCTTTGAAAAATGAGCACACAGAATATTGTGCTGGAAACTGCTTTGACACGGGAACTTGTAGTTCAAAGGCCCTGTATAATTTCAACCAATGCATATCACACATTTCAGGCAAATCATTTACATTACAAAGACCAGACAACTCATAAATAAGGCCAGACAATTTATATCACATGACAGACAACTAGACAACAGTTTTAAATAATTCAAAATGACGTGCCAGACAATTCAAATGTGTTGCCAGACAACTACAAATGGCCTGCTAGACAATTTATTTCACAAACCAGATATCAACAATCCTAGTTTGGCATCACAAACAACTACATACCTAGTTTCATAGTTACACACAACTCAGGCTTGCCAGACATTTCAAAACACATTACAGTCAAATTACATGTACAAAAATAGTTCACAAGCATGATATTGGTGTTCAAACAACACACAACCAAAGCCACAAACAACACAAACATTAAAACTCTATTCACACCAAGATAAACATCAATCCAACAAAAATAGAACTAAATCCATACCTTTCAGCCATTTGTGTTAAGCTTGTCCGAACCTGGAGCTTGAAACCTTCACAGCAAACTGATTTTAAATTGATTGGAAAGTTTAAAAAACTTGTCCACGCCAGTGAACAGGGACGCCATCCGTTCGTCAGTTGTGAGGACGCCCCCGTTGGTTCGTGGGGGTGGTCCCGAAACAGTGTTTCAATTAACGGATGGGTTGGGGCGGGTTGAAACTCGGTGCAGGTCCTGATTTTGGGCTGGTGTGCAACGCGACGACTGAGAACGGTAGCAGGAGATGTCAAGCTTGGGGAGGTGTGCAACGCGAGGGGGTGAGGTCGGTGACGGTGGTTATTTTTCGAAACTTCGTGGGGAAGGGGAAAGGTGGGAAAGCGGGAGATTTGGAAAGGTTGGAGGTGAGGAGGAAAGGTGAGGGACACATGTGAGGGAGGTTGGTGTAAATTAATTGGAGGGCTTTTATATGGGGTACAAATTGGGGTAAGGTTGGGGTACCTATAGCAAAATTGATGGGCTTATATTACCTCTGTTTCTTTTAATTCCAACCGAACTTTTTGCACTATTCACATATTCTACTTTGATTATAATTTATTAATTAATGTATTATATATTAAATTTTTACAAAATATTGTTAAATTCTTCTCATTCTAAATTTTCAAAATATGATTTTTTTTTTAAATTTTTTAATAATAAGGAATGAAAGATATTAATGGTCAAACTTGTGCGTTGGCAAACGTAAAATGTTGACTATTGCAATTAAAAGGGAACGAATGAAGTATATCAAGATTAGAAACTAGAGGCAAGTCCATAAGATTAGAAAACATATTTGTGATGATATAACATGTTAGAGTTAATCGTTCACTCAGAAGCAATATGATACCTCAATTTCCATACGGGCAATGATAAGTCAATCATAATCTATCTAGTAACTTTGTCATTTACTCCTATTAGAGATAATTAATTTAATCAATATCTTAAGGATAATCATTCCTTTAGTTATATTTATCTACTGTAATCACTTATCATTATCTCATCCGTATACTTAAGTTGTATAGCTAGACTAGACTTCTTCAAATATACCTATTTAAACACCTGTAATACCTAATACCAATTACATTTTATACAAACCCTTTACATGGTATCTGAAGCTGCGTAGATTATTAGCTCTACCCGATCCTGCATCTTTACGCTTTTCCTTTCTTCCAGAATGGTTGTCCAGCATGACACCACAATTGTGCAACTCGCTGCACCCACCAATTTCCCAAATAAACTTATTGTGGCCAATTTCCCTGTTTCGCATTGTCGGGTTAAGTTCACCAAGTTTATCAATGGTGATATGAAGTCCCCAGCTCTCTTTTCTGATGAGGAAAAGACAATTCCCATTCCATGCTACTCTATCTGGTACCGTCAAGATCAAATTCTTATCAGTGCTCTTCTCAGTAGCTGTTCCGAGACTATCCAACCGTCGATATTATTTACTACCACTGCTAAAGCTGTCTGAGAAATTCCATCCACCAGCTACGCAAGTGCATCCCCCAACAGGTTTCTGTCTCTCAAAAACAAGCTCTTGCGCAATCCACATGGAACCGGCTCTATGTCCAATTATCTGAAGGATATGCAAAATATCGTCACGGATCTTGCACTTGCTCAATTCCCGGTTTCTGACTCTGATCTCTTAATCTCAATCATGAACCAACTTGGTGAGGATTATCAATCCATTATTTTAGCATTACGTGTTGGGAACACTCCATCACCATGCTCGAGCTTGAACGTATTCTTACTGACCATGAGCGCATGCTTAAAGAAACTGCTAAAACCACATAGACTCAACTGCCTACTGCTCATAATACCCATTGTCATTCTCCTCACTTTACTGGCAGTATAACCACGACATACTCCCGTGGTCGAGGTCGTTCCTACAATCGTGGCTCTGGCAGTCCGTCTTCTCCACGTTCATTCAATCACTCAGGTGGCCCAATTTGCCGCTTATGTAACATTCCAGGTCATGTTTTCGCGACTGCAGGAAATTGGCCCGATTTCTACGCAAAAATAATTACTCTTCCAATGGTGTATCTCTGACTATTCATCATACTACTTCTCAGATTAACTCGGTAAGTCCTCCATCCGCTCCGTCTCAGTGGTGCCTCCCATCATGCTACTTCCGGCCCAGGTACACTGCAGGACTTTTCTGCAATGATGGCCCCAATGAAATTTGCTTGGGTAACGATAATTCCCTTTCCATATATCACATTGGTAACACTTCACTACCTACTCCCACTCAACCCCTGAGCCCGTTTGGTAGCACGAAAATCGGCTTATTTGGCTGATTCTGCTGAAATTTATGAAGTTCTGGCTGAAGTGGCTGCATTGGCTGATTCTGCTGATTTAAGAAAAAATAATTTTAAAATATATTTTATTAATAAAATAAAGAAAAAGTTATATGTAAAAAAAAGCTAAAATGGTCATCTACAGTAACTTCAGCCAATATAGTCAGAAAAGTAACCCAAAACTTACTTTTTCTGCTTATTACACAATTCAGCGCGCGAAAGCAAAAGTTACGTGTTTGATGAAAAAGTTGGTTGATAAGCCTGATAAGCCGAAAAAAAGTGTTACCAAACGACCTCATAGTTTGCACATGGAAAGATAATTTATATGCATATAAAAATTGTTATGTTGATAGCCACTATTTATATTTAATACGAGTAAAACAAAACGCACATTTATATAGAGTTTGCACATGAAAATATAATTTATATGCATACAAAATCGTTGCGAGTGACGTAAAATTTCAGTGACGTAGAATAAATGGTTATGCGTTTTTTTTGTTCTAATTGCATAACTTTAACAAAGTAAATAAACTAAATACACCCATTTTTCTCTTTAATTATACAATTCTACTACAGTACTATGTATGTAGGTAATTAGGTATACCTATTATCATTACTATATAAGTCATTACTTTTTTTGACAGACGGATCATAACTTTGATAGTGAACTCTCATACTTTTCTTTTATTCATATACTTCCTACTTGGTAAATGGTATACCTTGGTCCAAAAGGTGTAAATGGTATACCTCTATCTATCTCTGTGTGTTTTCATTAAATTACTTTTACACAAATGTTAAAGGTAGTAAAATGTACCTCATTTTTACCTCATCCCCAGTGGCGGAACTAGGGGGCGAGTCGGTGTCGACGCTCCCCCTTCTCCGGTGGTGGTTCTGTATGTATATATATGTATATATCTCAGCCCCGGTTCAGAAAGTATTCATATATTATAGTAGAGTCGCTATTTGAACGTATGAGTTGTGATAGTTTAAATGGTAGGGTCAAGGTTGGGAGAGCTCTGTCTACCTAAATGGCCTGAGTTCAATTCTCAGGAGCAACAATATTTTTTTTTGTTTTCTCCATTATTGCTTCTTTAGACTTTAGCCCATTTGGTAATTATTTATGTTCAATTAAATCACTCTAGGATGTAATGTTGTTTAAATCACACTTTTTGAATTTCTATATCTTTTATTTTAAATTCTCATTTCTTCAATTCAAATTAAATTTAATCATTTCTTCTTCTAATAATGACATATACGGACGTTGTCATTTAATGTCAAGAATAATTCTAAAACTACTTTAAGTTCATATAAGTATTTACCTTTTGTTTAGTATAATAGCATTTTTATTGGAAACACACTACATATACATATATATAAGTTTCGGATCAAATAAAAAGAATTCTTGTCATGAAAATTGATCGAGAATAAATCTTTTGCATTTAACTTGAGATCCGATGAGTCAAAATCAGTCAACAATGCACTATATTTTATCAAAAACTCGGTGACAATTTGATAAATAAATCAAAATTTTCTCTCATTGTGAAAAAGTGTAAAATAAATATCTACTAGTGTACCAAAACGAGTAAAAAATGCGCTCGTTCTCATTTTTCACCAGAATAACTCTTTTTATTAGAACCTCACTCTATATGTATTAATCATTATTTTTCACTCGTTTTTATTTTATCCTAATAAAAAGTTGTTTTTCAAAAAAAAATATAAGAGCACCCCCTCAAATTATTGTCTGGTTCCGCCGGTGCCCATCCCCTAATGTGTGACCATGAATGGAACAATTTATTAAAGTAGGATACCATTTACCCCATCCCCTAATGTGTGATCATGAATGGAACAATTCATTTAAGTGGTATACCATTTAAATGAATTGCCACATTAATTACCTACATTATGAAGAGGGATAAAAATGAGGTAGGTAATCCCAGCAAAACTCCTACTTTTAAAGTAACCCAAACTTAAATTACAATAGATGCATTGGAAGTTGAAACTTGAAAATAGTGCACTTTTATTGTCATCACATGGCTTCCAGGTCAAGGTGCAGCTGAACAACTGATTCCGATCCGGTACGTCTCACATACAGTGCTACCGTAGTCCACATCGTAACTATATAACAACTCACTTTTTATCGTTTGGCGCCGTGAAAGACAACGGAGATATCTTCGGCGGCTGTTTTGAGATGGAGGGCATTCGGCATAGGACTGTGAAAGTTAACGGAATCAACATGCATGTAACGGAGAAGGGGGAGGGCCCACGGGTGGTTCTCTTCTTGCACGGCTTCCCGGAGCTTTGGTACACTTGGCGCCACCAGCTCCATCACTTCGCCGCCCTCGGCTACCGCGCCGTCGCGCCGGACCTCCGCGGCTACGGCGACACGGACGCCCCCGCCGCCGCGCCTAGCTACACTTGCCTGCACGTCGTGGGCGACCTGGTTGACCTGATCCACTCCCTCGGAGTGGATGGTAATAAGGTTTTCTTGGTGGGTCATGATTGGGGCGCGATTATTGGCTGGTATTTCTGCATGTTCCGGCCTGACATGGTGGAGGCGTTCGTCGGGATCTCTGTTCCGTTCCGGCCACGGCACCCGGCGGTGAAGCCGGTTGAAGCCATGAGGGCCGTCTTTGGAGAAAATTACTACGTCTGCAGATTTCAGGTAAAGGGTATATGCAATTTTTTCCTCGCATCAAATTTATCACTTCCCTCATATTATTGAAATATTATCATTAATACAGTCAACTTTAGATTACTTTCCTCAAACAATAACAACCCACAAAAAATGTAAAACTGAGTAGCGAAGATGTTCTTATCCCTCCGATTCCTATGGGTATATGGTACGATTTTTTTAGAGAAATAATTAAATAAGTAATTCAGGTAAAAAAGATCTGAGAGGAAAGGAAATTTTAGTAAAAGTAATAAATATATAAAGTTAAAGTAATTAAAAAGAGATTAGTTATGGTAGGAGAAATTGTGATGCAAATCATGCAATGAGTATGAAAGAGAAATTTAAGTAAATATGTAATTAAAAATACTACGTAGTAAATAATTACCTTTAAATGGGACACCCAAATAAGGAAAAGAAGAATTTTTCAACATGACGGGGAGAGTATCATATTTGATAATATTTGAGTTATTATAATTCATTTTTTACTTTATTCACACTTTATCTATTCAATAATTATAACATAATTTCACTTTTTTTTTTAAATCACATCACAACCTCTTGTCTCAATCTTAGAGAGGCGAGGTATTATTATTATTATTATTATTATTATTATTATTATTATTATTATTATTATTATTATTATTATTATTATTAGTACTACTACTAGTGCTACTATTACTACTACTACTATTACTATTATTATTATTATTATTATTATTATTATTATTATTACTAGTGCTACTATTACTACTACTACTATTATTATTATTATTATTATTATTATTATTATTATTATTACTACTACTAGTGCTGCTACTACTACTACTATTATTATTATTATTATTATTATTATTATTATTATATATTATTATTATTATTATTATTATACTCCGTAGTAAATATCCTAAATAGGACTGAATGTAACATAATGGTACAAATTACTAATAGGAGTAAACAAATGTAACTTAAGGAAGTAAGTACTATATTAACTAAAAGTAAGAGTTTAAACAAGTTCAGCTTTTCGATTCGACTACAAACAATTTCACCCTCGAGCTAGTGTAGTAATGAAGTCTAATACTCCTTCCATCCCATTAGACTTTGTCAACTTTTTCTTTATGATTGGCCCAAAAAAATTTGTCACTTTTCTTTTAAAGTAATTATTTTGTAATTCTGCTCATTTCTCTCTCCTCTGCAAACTTCAACCACACAATTTTTACTATTCTTATTTCTCACATAATTCAAATAGTGCAAAGTACATTGGGACTGAGATAGTACTACTTGCGTTCTCTTTTGATTAGTTGTATCATTGATGATTTTGCACAAAAACTCATATTTTACTATAACCAAATTTTATTTATTTATATATAATAAATTAAAATTTCAAAAAATATTGTTAAATTCCTCACATTTTAAATTTAGTAATATTAACGGTCAATAAACGTGAAAAATAGATCGTTGCAATTAAAAAATAACACGTATAAATTTTGAGTCTTGTGTGTAGTACTCCATATACTTGGTGCTATTTGGAAGTCGGAACATACAAAAAATGTAAAATGATTAACAATTATAGACGTAGTTCTTTTGGTTGTCGACTGAATGGAAACTGTGTGATTAAATAGACCACATTTTTGTTCCCATACATGCATGATGCATCATACAAGGATGAGATGGTGAAAGGTGTTCAACAGATTTATTGAATGGTAGTATTGAATACTTGCAAGTTAAGATAAATAATGAACAGTACTCGGTCAGAAAGAATGGACACAAAAGACTAGCACTATTTATAGTGTGAAAGTGAGTTGCGATATTACTCCGTATTGGTTTTGCCTATTCTCTCTTCCAATGGCCCATGAGCTAGCGCGCTATTTTATTCGTGAAAGACTGACAGGTACGTTTATCCTGATTTTGCCCTTCTTCATCTTTTTTAAATTTTTTCTGGGGGGCCTGGGGTCAAGGGGACGGGGTTGGGGTCCTGACGAGGGAATTCAAGAGTTCAAACTGCTCCTGACGGGAATTGAACTCCACAACCAACTAAGCTAGTTGATTAGTCTACTGATTTTGCCCATTTTTAGGCTACATGCAACCTAGGATTTGGTATTGAATAACTATTTTATTTATACTTCAATATTTACAAACAATATATCATGATTTATAATTTTTTATTATTTTCCATATGACACCAATATATAAAAAATTGAAATATATCATGATTTTTTATTATCATGATATATAAAAAACTGAAGTTTCAACCACTTGAGTTTTTGAGACCCAAAATTTTTCTAAAATATATTCAAAATCTAAAAAAATTAAGATTCAATGATTATAATTTTGTTTTGCATCTATCACTTTTTTTGAATAAAGAAATTCCAAATTTATGTGTTTGTACATCAAAATGTTTGAGTCTTTAAATAATATTTCCTCCGGTCCTTAATGATGTTTACACTTTGACTTCACACATATTAAGAAAATAAATTTGACTTTACTGTAGATTACACTGTTTAACACTGTTTGGCACTGTTTGACACTGTTTGATGTAGATTTGTTTGCCAAATAAGGCAAATAAAAAAGTGTAAAGTTTAATATGGGACGACCAAAAAAGGAAAGTGTAAAGTTAATTAAGACCAGAGGGAGTAGTTATTCGAAAAAAAATAAATTCAAAAAAATCAAAGCAAAGTTATAAAAGTAAGATTTCAATTCAAAAAATCGCTGGGTCAATATATTAAAGGTGCTGGATTATAACAAAAAGTGAATTAATTGAATGAATACGTATAAAAGACTTTTTGATACGTATAAAAGACCAGAGGAAGTTGGATTACTGTCAGCTTTATACGGCTCTCGTGGAAAACACTTTTTGATAGTCAATTTGATGTTTGCTTCTCGATGGAAACGTTTGACGTGGATATATGTTGGTATCAAAGTAAGCAAATGGTTCACCATGGTTAAAATGAAGGTCATTCTTGGTATTTACACAAGCGTTTTACAAAAAGCGTACAAAGTAGGAAAATGAACCCAGTCAACCAACTTCTTATTCATTCACCGCACTATACAAGTATTTACGGAGTTTACTATTTGATACTTCCTCTGTCCCATTTAAATCTTTACATTTTTCTTTTTGGGATGTCCCATTTACTTTTTTACATTTCCATTTTTGACCACTTATTTTACATGATTTGTCATAACTACCCTTCACTATCCAACCCACCCACATTTTAGATTTCATTGGACAACATTGATGCAGTCATGCACCCACATTGAAGGATTCTGTTTCAGAATTAGATTTACAATGAGCCTCTCAACCCATTCATAAGATTGGTTCTCAATTGGCAGAGTTTATCCCTGCCCAGAGACAGAAGCCTTCATCTACTTGGAGATAGAAGCTGACGTTAATGGTGTTGCTGCTACCAAGAACGCAGCCGCAGGCGTTCTCGAGGCCTTCTTCAGAGTTGAAGGCCTGGACAGGAGAATCAAAGGCATGGAGCTCTACAAGGGCTGTTAGATTCCTTTCTCAACTCATCAAATCTTGATTTTCGTAGGGAAACCAAAATTCTGAATCGTCCCTTTGTAGCTTGTTTGCCGATTGGGAATTTGTGTGTCGATTGCAGCTTCCCTCCTTTACTCTTACTCTCTTGGAGATGAAATGCGTTGTAGAGCGATGAAAATGGGAAGGTTCTTGCTTCAACATAAACGTGAAAGGGGCAAGGTGGGGGTAAACAGCGGAAGAAGAATCGGTAAGGGTGAAGGGTATAAAATGATATTTCCTCCTCAATTAATTGATCTCCTAAATAACCGTTCCAAAAGTAAACGTAAAGATGTATCCAGGACAGAGAGAGTATTATTTAACACCCCCATAATACCAAAACTACTCCAAACAAACCATACAACTATTAAGATAAGTCGATTACATTCAACAAACTTCTGAATTTTCTAAAGTTGTCCAACTTCAAAGCCTTAGTCAATACATCAACAATTTGATCTTCTCTAATGCAGTGAGTTAGTCATACTCTCCCTTTATCAACTTGATCTCTGAGAAAGTGAAACTTAGTCTCAATATGTTTACTGAGGCCATGTGAAACTGGATTTTTAGCTAGGTTGATAGCTGATTTATTATCAATCAATAGCTCTATCTTAGTGTCAACTTGCTGCTTAAGTTCCTCCAACAAGAATAGAAGCCAGATTCCTTTACAAGTAGCATGACATGCTGCTATGTATTCAACCTCACAAGTAGACAAAGCTACAACATCCTGCTTTCTTGAGCACCAAGAAACTGTGATATTCTCCAAATAAAAAACACATCCCATTGTGTTTCTCCTATCATATTTATCTCCACACCAATCTGAGTCAGTGTAAGCAGTGAGATGCAAGTTTTGATCTGTCAGACTCTCTTTGGAAAATAAAATTCCATAATTGAATGTTCCTTTCAAATACCTCAGAACTTTTGTAGTTGCAGTTAGATGAGAATGCTTGGGATCTGCCATGTATCTACTCACCAAGCCAACTCCATATAGAATGTCAGACCTACTGTGACACAGGAATCTTAAAACAATCTATAAGTTGCATGTAAAGAGTTGCATTTGTCCTTGATTCATCTGCATAATCATCCAATTTTTGGTGCATTAGAATTCCCTGATCAGTGTGAACAAACTCTATTCCCAGAAAGAAAGACAATTCTCCCACATCTATCATTTCAAATTCTTTCTTCAACTTCTTCTTGAGTTGATCTACTTTATTGGAATCACTTCCTGTGATAAGTAAATCATCAACATACAAGCAAATAAAGAGTGTTTCTTTTAAATCACAGTTCAAAACATAAACTCCATGTTCTACTGTGCACTTTCTGAACCCCACATCCTTCAAAACTGATCAATCCGATTGTTCCAAACCCTGGGTGCCTGCTTTAAACCATATAGAGCTTTCTTCAGTTTTAGAACTTTATTTTCTGATTCTTTAACTTCAAATCCTGGCGGCTGTTGGATGTAAACTGTTTCTTCTAC